CAGTATTTTTGAGCCAAGTAGTCCCCATCTTGTATTGATGCACTTGGTTTCTTTTTCCTAGGTGAAGAACTTGGCATATTGAATTTCATTCTTTTTTTTCAGCCCAGCATTGCAACCTGTCAAAATCACCTTGAATCTTCTCTGTGTATTCCAGGATATTAATTATCTCACTCAGTTTTGTGTCATCTGCAAATTGTTCCTTCTACTTTCTCATACAGTTCATCAAGAAAAAGGTTGAAGAGCACTGGACCAAGGACTAAACCCTGTGGCACCGCACTTGTTACCTCGTCCCAGTTTGAGAAGGTGCCCCTGATGAGCACTCTCTGAGTCTGATTCTGTAGACATCTGTGGATGCATCTGATAGCTCTTCCATCTAGCCCAATTTTAGCTAGTATGCTAATCAAGAGATCATGGGGCACTATATTTTAGTTAGGGATCCAAAATTTATATATATATAATATTATCTAGGTTTGTGTTAACTTTATTTAAATATATTATTTGTGCATTGATATCATCTTTTATTAAATGTTTGTTTTGTGATGGTTTGACAGGTATATGCAAAAACATGAGTGTGATTTGATCTAGCTTTTCAGGAAGCTGGAACAGAATGGCTTCACATGTTCATGTGTTGTTTGAAGCTCTAGTCTGATCTTCATTTTCATTCTAATTCAGCCCACCACTGGCCCTGACACAGTGGCACTGGGCGAATCAACTCCAAAAAAGATTACCAGCTCTTCCAGACTTTTCCCAGATGGGAGTACTTCCAAGGCAACCTAGAGCTGCTTGATTTACTCCTCAAGTGCTGATGGATCACTGTTTGGCTGACATGCCTATTTACCATTTTTGATGCACAATAGCCCTGCTATTATTATGCTTATGCTAAGGACACATATCAGAAGGTAGCAAGGTGAGGATGGCATCTGTGGCTCATCCCAACCTGACAAATGCAGCCTGGCAGGTCATTTGATTCATGGAAGCCTCTGAGTTGGGAGACACAGAACCAGTAGGATGGCACCCTTATCATCTTTGATGTATTTTTCAGTTATGCAATTTACATTTTATCATTGCATTTCCTTGCGTTTTAATATTCTTGTGAGTAGCTTGGAGTATGTTTTGCTGCAGAAAGGTTGGGTAAAAAAACCTTGCTCATTATACATAGATATATTCCACTAAAATTTTCATAAAGTTATATCTTAAAGTGATGGCCCGTCTTGGATTCCAGTGCAACAGGCTCATAACCCTCTCAAGACTACAGACTAGGACTAAGCAACCAGAATCAATAGGAAAGTCACTGTTAATTAAAGTATGAATGGGTTTATAATGAGGAAACAGGACAACCTTTGTACTCACTAAACTTTTGAATGACAAGGACTTTTAGCCAGCCCTCTGGGCAAAGAATAAATGCTGTTAGACAAAAGGATTGAAATCCAGACCAAATAGACATCATTCCCAGCACTGGAGTTTCCTTTACCATGTTTTACTTTTGACTATCCTGAAGGGCCCCTTCAGGGGTGACTCTCTGCACTTTTGGCATCTGTTCTGAACCAAACAGGGAAGGCTGATGCTGACCAGAAGGGCTACTCTTCTGTTTGGTCTGCTTCTTTTTGCATCTGGACAGAGAAAGACCACAGAATCCCAAAGACAGTGTTGGCTCCAAGGTTTTTGGGAATTCTTGGGCAAGACGCTCCGAACCTCCCCTGGTGAGTTTAACTTCTCATTGCCATGGATACCAACTGCTATTGCTCCACATCCACATCCTCATCATGGCTACCACTTGGCAGGGAGCAAAAGGCAGCAGTATCTCCTTTTCACCACCACCATTGTTTGGACCAATACAGGAGGCAGGTGAGCAAGCAGGTGCCGTGCTTAAGAGGAAAGGCCAGTCCAGGGGTTCTTGCCAGTGGGCCCTGGCTGGGGTGTAGGCTCTTAGCAGGTGCCAGTATGCCTGCCCTTCCCTCCAGCCCTGCCTTTTGATGATTTCCTAGATTAGTCATCATGTTACACCCATTACAACAATAGAGGGCAGAAAGATCTCCAGATGTTTTGGATGTCATCACCCAACATTGCTGGCCATTAGCAATGCTGGTAGGGCTTATGGGGTCTGAAATGCCAAGCACCTGGCTAGCTATGTCCTGCTTAGACCTGTTTTAATGTACCATGGCCATTTTGTGCCAAATACAACATGAAGAATCCCAGCCTTACTGTAGCATCAGCTAAAAGGATATAGAAGTTTGTTACTAACAGTTTAACTAGCTGTTACATGAGGATTAATTTTACTGTGAGACTCTATCAGAAACTTTTCAGATTACCCCAGACTATATTTTTAGTTTTTGATATGAAATATTACCAGTGTTTCAATTGGTATAGGGCCTACAGAAATTTCCATTCTTTCTGTCCTTTTGAGTAGGTATTTGGAAAAGTCTGGAAATGGACAGGTGGGCGGGTGTCCGTTGCATATCCAGGTCTCTTTGGATCTGCACAGGCCACAGAAGTTACTGGCTTTAGCTCATGCTGTTCTCCACCTGGACGTAAACATAGGAGATGGAGGCAAACTGTGCAGGTTGCAGATTCAGCTTTGTACTACTGATGTGAAATTGTTCCAGACAGAAAAAAAAATATTTTCCAGGTATTCCTCCTGGAAAAGGCCCTTGGAATCCAACATCTAATATTCTCCCCCACCCCCAGTTCTGATGCCTCAAATACCCAAAGTTCAAATACCCCAGTTCTGATGCCTTAGAATACCCAAATCTGATGTCTTTCCAATGCCAGGTAGAAAAAAAATATTGGCCCATACCTTCCCATGGTAGGCATGTCATGAGCAGAACTGACTGGAGCCAAGGGTCAGACTAGATGGCCTGGAAGATCCCTCACTCTGTCTCTATGTTTCCATGTTAAGCTAGCCATTTTTTTACCTTATTGTAGCTTTATTAATCTTGGTTTGTTTTTTCTGTTTTATTGCTTTGCTGTGCTTAATGATTTACTTCCTTGAACTTTGCTTTATCACTGCACTGAATTTTGTTTTGATGATGCAAGTTCTCCTAAGGTCTTGTCAGCTGCAGGATGGCATATATTGGGTTCAGTAAATACAAATGTGCTTTTTCCTGATTAAATTGAGGTCTCTAACAAGATCATAAAGAAGTAATTTTTTAAACATTACATTTTAGAGACTTTCCTGAGGGCCTCCTGACATTGCAGTAGCAGAACATTTTCAGAGTTAGAAATGGCCTCCACCTTCAAGGTATACATAATTATGAATATTATGCATAATAATAACATGTCAAGTTAGTGATTGCATGTCCCATGGTTTCCCTACTGTGGAGTGGGGGCCATTTGTTTGATATAATGAGAGTGGGAGCCCAGACGGGAACACTGGGCTGAAATTTGTTTCCTGACTCTATACAGATGTGAATCGCTTCTGTCCCCCTGCCTCTGGCCAGCATCTACTAAATTACACCAAGGGTGGTAACACAAGACGGTTGTGCTGAGTTTCCCAGGGGCCAAATCAGCACGTGTCGAACAAACGCAGAGCATTTGCAGCAGTATGTTAGCACAGATACATGTCAAAACACATGCCCTGGGCCACGTATGCAAGGGTGTCATCCTGAACACATACCTACACCCTCAGTAACAGCCTGATGCTCAACACAACTAAGGTCAAATAATTGCATCACCTTTTCCTATTTCACTCAGTCTGGTGGGGCTAAACGACTCCGTACAAGTACTTTGTACTGGGTGTGGATCAGGCTGCTCAGTACACTCCACAAAGCAAAGAAGCCCAAACATCATCATCCTCAAGACAAAACTGCATATGATCTAGCATCTGTTTCCTCTTTCAGGTAGCACATTAGATGCAGATGAAGTAAATACTCTCCTCAAATATAGTGTTTAGGGGCTGTTTGGCTTCATTTTGCACATTAGAAAATTCTTCATACCACTCAGATTGGCTGAGAACTGGAATATTTCTTGCCTTTCCTGGGTATGATCTAGAGCAGCCTTCCCCAAACTTGTGCCTCCCAGTCATGTTTGGACTGCAGCACCCAGAATTCCCAGTCAGTGGCCCTGCTGGATGGGAATTCTGGAAGCTGCAGTCCAAACACCTCTGAAAGCCACCAGGCTGGGGAAGGCTGACCTGGAGAGTTGTACATAAATGTAGGTAATTCTTTTTCACCAGAACTGTGGCTGGTAGAAAGTTAAAGCAGTGATATTAAGGTCCATGGAAGGCAAGTTCAATTTGCCTGTCATTACAGGCATTGGAAAAATGCCATGCAACACATCTCGGCCATTGCTGAAAATGAGCACCAGGTGTAAAGTAAAAGTTCAGCTCAAACATAGGACTTCCCCTTTTCAAAAGGCTCAAATCTGAGGTGACTATCCTTGGGCTGCAACGGAAATAATGGCCTTCCCCACGTCCTCCTGCATGCACACACATTTCTGTAGATCTAATATTGCCTGTGAATTAAATAGAGTTTGTTCAGCTCTTTCTTGTTGCACACAAATGAAACAGTTAGGTGCTTGAGCGTACACAGCAGTTAGATGGTTATCTCACAAGAATTGCACAAGAAGGCCATCAACCATGCTCTCTTAATTACACGGTGCAACCAGCTCTCTCTCTCTTTCTCTCTCTTCTCTGGGATTCTCATCTATCTATCTATCTATCTATCTATCTATCTATCTATCTATCTATCTATCTATCTATCATCTCAGTTCATATGGACGGGATGAAAGAAGACATTTCAGATGATGTATTTTCAGATGAATTTCAGATGCTGGCAGACAGCTTTTCTTACTTGTGTGGATATACCCTTAATCTTTCTCATGTTCTTTGGCTTTAGGAAAACTCTGCATTGCTTCAGGCTGGTTAGTCTGTAACAGGTTGCTTAGAACTACACATTCCAGATGGTAATAACTCTAGGGAACACCTTGTGTTCGAAGTGAAAAGAGGACAAACGTCAAGGACATAGCAGTTAATTGCAAGAGGAAAAAAAGCTAATATTCATCACCTGACCACTTTGGTGCCGTTCCTTACAACCTGCATGTCCACCATACAGCCAGCAGTTACGTAAGCAGCCAAGTTCAGCTCAGAAAACTCTGCCTGGAGTGGGAAAAAACAAAGCAAAACAGGAGGTTAATTAATACACATAGCATGGACTGATCTATTTTGCAGATTTATCTTTTAAACAGAATGTTTGCCTCACAAGGTAGTAGCCTATCTAATTAGCACTGTTCTGTATGGGAAATACTCAAGACGACTGCTCTCCACTGCATCTGGACATCGGCCACCCAATTCAGAGGCGTATGTCCATCCAGAGCATGGAGTGAGGTGTGGTTGCACTCTCTGCTGCCACAATGACTTGCACCATGCAGTTCATCTAGATGGCCAGTTGTGATCTAGATGAAACACTGGGGAAGCAAAGACACTGCTAAGAAATGGCGTAGGTCATCAGCCTCAGCCTCCTTTCCTCTTTGTTCTCTGCCCCACTTTTTCCACCCTCTTGGAGGACCAGAGGGGATTCCAATGTATTCTTTCCATGCCAGCTGTGAGGGGGCATGGTCTTTGGATACCCAGCTCTGTGGTTGCTGGACCTCAGTGGTGGGGCTCTGCCTAATCCTATGGCCCCTCAGAGAATGCCAGAAGGCCAAAGGATTGTGCTGAAGAAGTGTTTATGGCCCAGCATTAATAAAGAGCAAAGACTCTGTGTTAAGACTAAATTAAGAGTGGCCCTGAGCAACTCCCAGGGGGACTTAAATTCCTATTTGGAATTTTCCATGAGGAATTATGGCTGAAGTCATGGAATAACATTTTGCCTTTGCACAGGAAACAATTTGCTGACATTCAGATTGCTGACTCTTACAGTCCATACACCTGTGCAAACCCATCATTTGCACGTTTATACTGTGAGGAAGGACAGTGGCAATACTGCGCACTTGCACCACATGAAGAAACACTGGATTTTGCTCTGTGCCCAGTCCCTGCTTCCATTCTGCACAAACATACCAGAGAGACAGGTGGATACCTGTCCCAGCAGTACTCCAAGAAATTAGTGTTTTCTGCCCAGGAAAGTGGCAGTGCCAATGGTAGAGGCATCAGTACTTGTAGAGAGTGGGGCAGGAAGCCATTTGGATGTCATCTTAATGCAAATTTACCTTAGTCATACTTCCCAAGCCAATATGCAAAGCAAAATGCAGCTCTATTTTAATATTTGTGATTTCCTGAATTTTTCAGTACAGTTGGCCAGTTAAAAATGTACACATATGTATACATGAGAGGAAAGTGTGCAGAAAAATACACACATCAGTGAAAATAACACATAAAACACACATTTGGGGAAATCACTTTAAAATTTATCTCTTTTGAAGAGCAGTGAACAAAAATGCATGCAAATTTTTCTGTGGATTTTTAAGTGAATCCAGAAACTGATACAGATGTCTGCTTACATGGCACACATTTCTATTGTCTGATACTGTCTGCAGCTTCAACTTCCCACCCACTCTCCCTGTAATATCTAAGATGCTAGGGGGACAAAAGGAAGGAATGTACAGGCAATGCCTTAACATTCCGTAAATGCAGCTTCATCCCTCAAAAACTGATGTGCTTTTGCCTCCAACCAACCGACTGACCGACCAACAAACCAACCAACCAACCAACCAACCAACCAACCAACCAACCAACCAACCAACCAGGAATGAATAAAAGATAAAAGTCCTCATATTCCTATTTGTTAATGGTCAAAACAAGCCATAAGATGGAGCTAAACACTGATTTATTGTATTTTAACCCATACAGGAACCGACCCTATCTCCACGTGGAGAGTAGCATCATTAAAATGTGATTATATACTCATCTATTTTCTCTGTGAGCCATCCAACATGGCTCTGAACATGGAGGATTGTGGGCATCCAGCTAACTGAGGGCAGGACAAACACAGAAGGGAGGATTGCCTTTGTGCACTTCCCATCCTACAAATGACACACACAGCTGAGTTCAGCCTCTGTGCCATTGGCTCCTGCTTGGAAAGAGGAGAGACTGAGGGACTGCTGGGATGCCTGGTGTTCTAGCAGGCCTTGCTCCTCCCCTCCCTTCCCAGCCAGTCATGCTTGTGACCTTGGAGCGGCAGCCAGCATGGAAAGAACTGTGCTAGCCACAAGGGCAGGCGGATCCCGTGATCAAGCCCCAACTCTGTCCTCTGAATGCGTTCCTGGGACTGGAACAGGGACTCTGCCCTATCCTATCCTATGGCTCTCTGGACAGAGCTTAGCAGCCATAGGATTGTGCCTTTGACTTAGAAATTGAGAAGAGTCTGCCTGCCCAGGCACCTTTCCATTTCATCATGGATACATGAGGATTTGTAGGGGTTCACTTAGGTGAATGTACTGTAATGTACCTTACAGGAGCTTTAAAAAGTTGTGAATTTAGGCCCGGGTGAGCTCTGCAGCTCAGAATTAATTTGTTTAACACCTTAAATAAATAAGGTGGTAAATTGTGATACAATTTTGTGTGGAGTGGGGGCAGGGAATATAGGGGTAAAAAGGCAAGATCTGAAGGAAATAGTATGTTTTTATAGAAAATAATCTGGAAGGAAAGCCTGACCTGTTTTTAGGCCAAGTATGAAGTCCAGAGCACCATGTAAAGAAGGAAAAGCAACAGACCAAAAGGAGGGAGCCCACATAGCAGCCGATGGAAAAGAAGAGCCAGTGCTTAAGGCCTTCTGTTTTAAAGTCAGTAACATACTGGAGAAATAACTTACTGGTATAAGTGCTACATCTTCCCTGCAACACCTACAAAACAGGTTGTAGGGCTACTGAACAGATTGTTAAGATGCATCAAAGGGGAGTGAGGACTTACAAGAATCAACAGACCAAGTGGTTTTACACAGAAGACATATCTGTGGATGCATCCACATGTCAAAAACTAACGGACTCTGGCAAGAAAATAGGTGGGAAGCAAAGTTGCTGGAATTGTTTTGTAGGAATGCTAATCATTTGGACATTTCCTCCTAAAATATGCCAGTTTTCTTGCTTCAAAATATGTTTTTCCTTTGGAGTAGCAACTTTTCCCCATGGAAAGGGCATATTTTCACCTAAAACAAGCAAAGTATGAAAATTTGAAGGATGATTCAACAGGCACCTGGAAAAATACTCTGGGCCCTGATGAATAAGTTATCATAACAAAAAACCAAATTAAATCTGATGTAAGCCAGGCTCAAAATGCTTTCCTAATTTCAATTTTCTCCTAGCTGACAGCAACAAAGTCAGAACTGAAGTGCATGCCTGAATGGTTTTGAACATAGACTTTCATTGCCCACTGACCTGTTCCACTCGGATTTCATATTCCCCATTCACCTTCTTTCCTTGAAAATACTTAGCCCTGTGGAGAAAAAGAGAGAGAGAAAGGGGGACAGGTTAGACAGACATGCTGGAAGCTTATTTTGTGTCTGCTTTTCTGGGTGGTTTTTTCTCTTCTTGCTGCTTTTTGTGCAGGAATTTGAGCTGGTTTATAAGACCTGGCATGCATATAATGACAATGCATCGGTTTGAAAACTGATGGGTTGTTCTGTATGAGTGGAACAGAGTATGCCCGCCTCTTCCACCTTTACTCAACAGTCCATGATCAGCTTCCTTTGAGCATGATGTCCAATTCCAGAGGGCTGGGTTGTTCAGCCCCTAAACATGATTCATCCATGGTCTGTTATTGGATTAACTACTGGGTTCTTTAGTCCCTCCCTAAACAGCCCAGTTGTGTGGGTTCAGATGTAACACCCATGAGGAGCTAATTATGGGTGGTTCAGCTGATCATAGGTTGTGCAAGAAGTGGGCAAACCACAGGCAGTTCACTTGTGCATCCCAGAAAACCCTGCAATATTATGTAATTATTTATTTCACTTCTGTACCAGCCAATAGCCAAAGCTCTTTGGCCAATTCACAGCAATTTTAAATTAGTGGGTTTTTCTTATTGCAAACAGTCCTATTGTCTCAACTGACATTTCTCTCAGCTTTAGCTCTGATTCAGGCATGACAATTTTTAGAAAATGAATCTTTGAAATGTCCATGCATGGAAAAGATTAATTTGGATGGGTTTGTTTGCCCATTGATCCTTTTAGATCAAAAGAAATGGCAGAGAGCTCATGGCCAGAGCACAAAGTCATTGTTAATTTAGGAATACTTCTGCCCATTCTGTAAGCCATCCTGAGACGATTTTCTGTATTGGACTGGGTAAAAATGTTTTAAATAAATGAATGAATATTAAAAACTGCTGCCCTTCCAATGATAGCCAAGCACACCTTCCTAAAGGAATGTAGTACTTCCCATTCAGTATTCTACACTTTCTATAATCTATAAAAAAATCCTATAGTTAAATGTAGATCTATAGTTTATCTTTCCTAGGAGCTGGTAGATATCATTCTCATGCACAACCCCTATTAGCAAGAGGGTATGTTGTCCATGGAGTCGTTATGGGTTGGACACGCCTTCACAACTAGCAAGCAAGCAAGCAATGGGACAAGAAGGAACTGTGGGTGGCACAGTGGTTTAAACTGCTGAGCAGCTCGGCTGGTTGATCAAAAGGTCGACAGTTCGAATCCGCAGGATGGGGTGAGCTCCCGTGCTTCATCCCAGTTCCTGCCAACCTTGAAGTTTGAAAGCATGCAAATGCAAGTAGATAAAAAGGAGGTACCACTTCGGTGGAAGGTAACAGCGTTCCGTGCACCTCAGTGTCTAGTCATGCTGGCCACATGACCACGGAAACTGTCTATGGACAAACACTGAGTCCCTCGGTTAGGAAACAGAGATGAGCACCGCCCACAAGAGTCAGACATCACTGGACTTTAATGTCATGGGGAAAACTTTAGCTTTTTATGGGGCAAGAGGAAAGCAACTTATCTCTAACAGAAGAGATAGCAAAGGGACCAGAGAATGTCAATCTCAACCTGGTTGAATGCATGACAAAGACCCTTCTGTACCAAACAAGAGGCTTTTAGGTCCATGTGCTCAAAACAGATGCTTCCCTTCATTCTATAGGGCAGTGATGGTGAACCTAGAGACCGAGTGCCCAAACTGCAACCCAAAACCCACTTAATGCAAAGGGCCAACACTGCAATAAAACTTGAATACTGAGGTCTTAGTTTAGAAAAAACAACTCACAGCTAGTCCAAGCAAATATACATATATCCTTGGCAGTGCACTGACCAGCCATGCAAAAACTCAGATGAGTCGCAGCTATGGTCTCAGCTCATGACATCATCTCCTGGCACCACTACTCCTTTCCGAGCATGCACATGGCCCCTATGTGCACTGTTATCCGATGCTCGGCTGCTGGGGCGATGCTGGGGTGACTTGGCTCGCATGCTGACAGAGAGGGCTCTGCGTGCCCACTGCGGCACACGTGCCATAGGTTCTCCACCACTGCTATAAGGTAATGTTGCTTCCTTCCATATGCAAATACCTTACTAAGTTCATCACATTTTAGGAAAAATCTAGATGATATTGTTTTCAACTTCTAACCCCCTCCATGTTTTACCACCACCTCTTTCTGCCTGCCTGCCTGCCTGCCTGCCTGCCTGCCTGCCTGCCTGCCTGCCTGCCTGCCTTCCTTCCTTCCTTCCTTCCTTCCTTCCTTCCTTCCTTCCTTCCTTCCTTCCTTCCACAAAAAATATGTTAAGGAAGAAAAGATGGAAGGCTGCAGAGTCTTTTAATTGGAAGCACTGGAGCTCTTCATCTGAAAGCACCCCTTGTCTGTGTGTCTGTATCAATGGGGATATAAATACTTATCACATTTCCTTTGCTTTCAGTGCTATAGTGTAATGTACCGAGCAGGTGTTTTGCTCCATAAAAGTGCTGCTGAAATGTAACAGAATGTACTGTTCCTGGTGCTCATCAAGCCACTTCTTTCTGATCACATCACACGGTCCCCTCCTGCCTGTTTGTAGTTACCCTGAAAGCCATTCCCTGCTTTCCTTTCCTCCTGTCCGTCCTCTCACGTATAATGGCTGTGAAAAGACTCGTAAACAAGGAAATGGGGCTGACAAAAGATTTAGGGATACTCTGATGTTTTTAGTACACCTTCCAAAACACGTGCTACGCAGCCAGTGTTTCAGTTTTAGCAATGGAAAATTCATGACATCAGCAGTTGGTCAGTTCGGAAACTCTGCCTTTGGGCCATGCTTGCATTCTTCTCAAAGGACAGTTACTTTCGTCAGCCACATGACAGGCAGAAATCCTGCAGATGTATTCCTTTCTGGCACAGAGTTGTATAGCTCAGGGGCTTTGTCTGTGTTTCCTGCCTCTCAGGGAACCGCAGAAACATAAAAGTCTTGCTGGAAGAAACACAAACCCAGCTCCCAAGGGTTCGTCTCCCATTTCTGTCATAACCCTTTCCTCGTTCTACCCTTTGTTACTCCAACATTCGTCACTTTAGACCCACTCCCCTCTTATGTTCTGCTTTATGATGTTAAGACCCTGATGCCCCATTACAAGAAACTGCTACAAGTTGTGAAGGAAACATGCACTATTAAATAGAAAGAATTTACATATCCATCAAGTGTATTCCCAACACATTTTTCAATAGTTTAAAATAAATGAAGACAATAATATATTGAAAGCCAATCAAGAGCAAGATGTCAGTAAATATCAACAGAAAATAAACAGAAAATATGATGAAAAACCAGAACTATAAAAAAGCAGCACAAAAACCAACCCAGTAAAACAATTTGGTGGCACAGCAGTGGCCATCCCAGGGGTGGGGCACAGAAAGGATGGGAGGCCACAAAGGACTTGGGGGCTTCACCCCCTTCACTCTTGGTTTATCCATCCTTGGTGTAGCCCTCCTGTTAGGTTGGGCCTGGGGCTGCAACAACAGTAGCCAAAGAATGAGCAGGAGCACAAGGTGGAAAAGATCAGGGAGATGTTTCCCTTGGTGGGCTGTGAATCAGTTTAGGCAGTGTTTGGCTAGCAATGTTCTTTGTTTGGGGAGGCATCACTAGCTCATCTTTCATTTTACACAGATGAAGCCCCCTAGCAGCCTGTGTTTACTCATGTGATCTTTGTAAACAAAACTGTAGCCCAACAGTAGGCTTAAACTCGTACATCTTCTTATTAAATCACTCCTTACCACAGAATTCAGGAAAGACTTCTCGGTGGATAGAATTATGCTAAATGATAAGAGCTCTTTTTTTCTGCCAGGTGAGGAAAACAGTGCTTGGGGTTGATAATGAGCAATCTTGGCTGTGAAAACTTGGTCTGGTTTTGTGAATGCAACAAGCCACCATGACTGACAAGCCATGATGAGTTCTCATGTCATGTTGAATGTGCACCACTTCCCACAGTGTGGCTTGTCTGTTGACAAGCAGTCACCCCAAGAGTCCATGGCTTATTTAGGGGTTGTTAAACCTCTCTGCAACCTCCTTGGGTTAATATCCTCCTGGAACTTTTCCTGGAAGTTTCTCCATAGCCACAAAAAGCTGGCTGCCACCCCTGCCCCATTCTGTGCTCCTTAAAAGCTTGGATTGTGGGGGACCATTTTATTTTACAGATCATCCAAAATAGTGTATTGTTGGTCTGTTCCCTGTGAAAAATCCTGACAGTAATTCAAAGGTTAGCTGGAAGGGGTTAATCCGTTTGTCACACAATGTGGAAATGCTTATTCCACATTGGTTCATTTTTCAGTGGAAACCATTCATCTGAACTTTGGGAGCAGGTTAACGTGAAAACCACATGAAAACAATAAATCAGGTTAGCCCAGGTTCACACATGAGTCTCAGCAAACATTGCTGTATTTCTCTTTCAACTGCACTTGTTTTCTCATTATGGATAACATCCATGAACCATGTTAGCAGGTGGTTTGGCCTATAAATCCACTTTGGTTGTAAAGGGAGCCCAGGGTGCTGTGCACCTCACAGTAAGGAGAATAATTTCCTGGCTGGGGCAATGCCACTACAACTGCAGGCAGTTAATTTGAAGGCACCCATATGCAGGTATAAGTCAGCTTCCCTTTAAGTATAAGATGAGGATCCAACAGCCCTACAGCCTCATTGTCCTCCGGTTCTCCAGTCGCTGCAGGCCTGCTCTTACTTTCTTACTGGCCTCTCTGGGAATTGCTTCCTCTGCTCTTTTGTGTATGTGAAAGAGAGGCAAAGAAAGGATGGGGTGTTGCAGTGTGAAAAAGGAACATTCACGCCTACTAACTTCATGCCCACGGGGCTTTGTTCACTTTGGGCTATAGCTCCACTCTCCTTTTGTAGACTTGTCCCACAGTTAGGGATGCATTCCAGACTGGATGAATCCTGAGTCTGGGACCAGATCACAGTGATTCACATATTCAAAGATTCAGAAAGGTTCACGGATTCTGAAGCAAAGCAGGTTTCCTTTGGAGTT